CATTCCTTCAAATCAGTTCAAGGGTTACTTTGTCAGTGTCAACCATACAGCTCTATTTCCCCCGGTACAGTAAGTGCATTTCAGTTATTAAAACCACACAGTATGGCTCATCTGTTTTGAAAAGTGCTTGATTTTAACTGCCAACTGCAAGTTAGAGATAAGTCCCACATTGCAGATACACTGTCCTATTGTAAGAAGACAAATAAGCACTTACCGAAACTCCACCCTAGGGGAGGCTCAATTTTAAGAATGAAATCCCCCTAAAAAACAAAAAGCAATAACTGTCTTCATTGATCTAAATTCAATTTAGCTAAATTATAAAAAAAAAAAGTCATAACACAAGCATCACGCTGCAGAGAGGAACACGAAACTCAAGTGTACCATTCTCCTTCCCTCTTACTTCAGATACTCTGTTCAAAGAAGCAGCAAAATCTACCCAGACAGGCTGGGATATTGGGCTCACATCCAGCCAGCTAAGAACAAAAATTAAGTATCACTGTGTTTATACCACTTAAAGAACAAACCTGGTTCACAATCAAGCAGCTCAGTGCTAGAAAGTCTTCAAATCTACCTCTACCTGCCCCGACAGATGGGTTCTAAATTAGCCTTTAGTATTTCCACTAGGAGATCCAACTCAACCACTCTGCACAAACATGAGACAACAAAACTTCAATCCTATTAAAAGCTCTGCTCCAAAAGGGTATTAATCTGCACAGGGATCCTCTTTATAGTGGCCACCAAACGTGTTCTGCCACATATATTCTGAAGTTCAGAATGGAAAGGTTCAAAGGCCTAAGAATGAAACCACTGAGATCAGAAAGCATCTTACATTCTTAGATTGGAAAGGGAAGGAATTATTTGGAGGTTGAGCTAGATGATCCCTCAAGATCCCTTCCAAACCAAACCATTCTATGATTCTACTTCTGATCCCTGAGTTAACCAGCTCTTTAAAAGAGCAAACCACTTTGACTGTCTGAGGGCAGCTTGTAACTAATTCGAATGTAACCATCTTTCCAGTCTAATAGACATCAGACTTCTGATACATTCTGAGCTTCCTGTAGCATTATTTCCTTAAGATATTTTTAATATCTGCAGTTAGTCATTCAAGTTATTTTCAATTCAGTCGTATCAAAACACCTTCTCATACACATCTCTTTCCATTTCTATAGGCAGCAAACAGAAAGCTTTAGCTGTACTCTGTAGCAACCTGTACTTTCTGTGCAGTATTTGTACAGCTGCAGCACACAGCTGTTGGCAGTAACTACGGCTCCCAGTGCTGCAGTCATTCCAATAAACAGCACAAATGCAACACCACAGCTACAGCTACCAGGCTTTTCTCAGCATCATTAGCACTGAGAAATAAAGTAGTTGCCTTACAGAAAGAAACAGCTGAAAGTTTGGTCCAAACCACACTAAATCACGTCCTGATTCGAAGGTTTCACGGGAAGGGTGTTGTTCTGAGGTTTATCCTGGCGGTAGATGGGGAGGCGGGGGCAGCACAGAGGGGACAGCGCAGGTGGTGCAGTGTCTTACCTTGTCATAGAGGGGAATCATGAAATACCCGTTGTTCGGAGCACAGTCTGTCTGGTATTTCAGAGTACCGTGTTTTGTATATAACTTAATCTAAAAGAAGCAAACACAACAAGGGTGCTTTAAAACAACGCTAGGAAGGCTGGAGCCAGGCACTGTCTAACCATGTGCTCTCACAGCGCAGCACCCGCCGTGCCCGGGGCAGCAGGACGAGGTTCACGGCGAGCAGCTGCACTGCGTGAGGCACAGCCCGGGCCCGAGGGAAGGAGACCCGCAGTCCCACCGGCCCCAGGCCGCAGCACCGGCACCCTGCCCGCGGCCCGGGCGGGAGCGCTCAGGGGGGACCCGGGGGCAGCCGGGGCCGGCGGCGCCCACCTCGATCAGCGAGTAGTTGATCTCCACGTCGGACTTGACGAAGCCGCCGCAGCCCACGACGATGTCCTCGGAGCCCCGCGCCAGGGCGCAGCACAGCGCGCAGAGCAGCGCGGCCGCGGCCCGGCCCC